AGTGCCAAGGTAATTCAATGGGGACAGAATAATCTTTTCAACAAATCGTGTTGGGACAACTGAGTATTATTTTCAAAAGAATGAAATTGGACCTTATACTACATATAAAAATTTATCTTAAAATGGATCAAAGGTCTAAATTCAGGAGATAAAACTATAAAAATTTTAGAAGAAAATATAAGTGTGATCTTTGTGATCTTGGATTAGACAGTACACCAACAGTACAAACAAGCAAAAAAAAAAAAAAAAAATGGACCTTAGTAAAATTAAAAACTTTTGTGTTTCAAGGTACCTGGCTGGCTCAGTCAGTAGAACATGGGACTCTTAATCTTGGGGTCACAAATTCAAGTCCTACTTTGAGTGGAGAGATTCCTTAAAAAAATAAAAGACACTAAAACTGTTTAAAAAAAGAAAACTTTTGTGCTTCAAAAAAATACCATCAGAAAGTGAAAAGACAACTCACAGAATGGGAGAAGATACTCGCAAATCATCTATCTGATAAGTCTAGTATCTAGAATATATAGAGTACTTTTACAACTTAATGATAGAAAGACACGTGTCTTTTTTTTTTTAAAGATTTTATTTATTTATTTGACAGAGAGAGACACAGCGAGAGAGGGAATACAAGCAGTGGGAGTGGGAGAGGGAGAAGGAGGCCTCCCACCGAGCAGGGAGCCCGATGCGGGGCTCGATCCCAGGACCTGGAATCATGACCCGAACCGAAGGCAGACGCTTAACAACTGAGCCACCCAGGCGCCCCGAAAGACACGTGTCTGACTCTTGTTTTCGGTTGTGAAATCGAGCCCTGCTTTGGACTCCTTGCTGAGTATGGAGCCTACTTAAGATTCTCTCTCTCCCTCAGCCTTGTCCATTCCCAACCTCTTGCCGCTCATGTGTATGTGCACTTTCTCTCTATATAAAATAAAAATAATAATAAAATAAAATAATAATAGAAAGACAAATAACCCAATTACAAAAGAGGCAAAGGATCTGAATAAACATTTCTCCAAAGATATATAAATGGCCAATAGGCACATGAAATGACATTCAACATTATTAGTCATCAGGGAAATGTAAATAAAAACTACAGTGAGATACCATTTCACACCCACTAGGATGGCAAGAATCAGAAAGATGGACAATAAAAGTGTTAGCGTGAGGATGTGGAGAAATTAGAACCTTCATACATTGTTGGTGTGAATGTAAAATGTACAGCTGCTTTCGAAAAGTTTGGCAGCTTTTCAAAAAGTTTAATAAAAACTTACCATATGACTCAGCAATTCCATTCCTTGGTATATATCATGAGAATTGAAAACTATGTCCACATAAAAACTTGTATATGATGTTCAAAGCAAAATTACTTATAATAGCCAAAAAGCAGGTACAGCCAAAAACCTATCAACTGATGAATGGATAAACAAAAATTGGTATATCCATTCAATGGAATATTATCCTGCCATAAAAGGAATAAAGTACTGATGCATGCTAACATGAATGAATCTTGAAAACATTGTTAAATGAAATAAGCCAGAGATTTTTTCAGATACTACAAAGGTCAGATATCACACTATTCCATATATATTAAATGTTTGTAACAGGCAAATCCATAGAGACAGAAAGTAGACTAATGGTTGCCAGGAGTTGGTGGGGGGCAAATGGGGAGTGACTACTAGTGAGTTATGTGCCTTCTTTTTGAGGTGATGGAAATGTTCCAGAATTAGGTATTGGTGATAGTTGCATAACTTGGTGAGTATACTGAAATTCACTGCATTGTACACTTTATAAAGGTGAATTTTGTGGTATATGAATTATGTCTCAATAAAAAAATACATTGGCGCCCGGGTGGCTCCGTTGGTTAAGCGTCTGCCTTCAGCTCAGGTCATGATCCCAGGATCCTGGGATGGAGAGTCCCATGTCAGGCTCCCTGCTCTGCAGGGAGTCTGCTTCTCCCTCTGCCCCTCCTCCTACTCATTCTCTCAATCTCTCTCTCTCTCTCTCAAATAATAAATAAATAAAATCTTTTAAAAAAATACAACTGGAACAATGGAGGAATTTTACTAAGAGAAGACTAGGGAAGGGACACATGTGGGAGAGAAAGGCAGAATTTGTTTTGGACATGGTAAGTTCGAAATACCCATTAAATACCCAAGTGGATTTCTTTCTTTCTTTTTTTTTTTTTTCCCAAGTAGATTTCTGAAGTAGGTAATTGGAGTCTTCAGTTCAGGGGAGAGATATGGGTTGGAGATATTATTTGAGAGGAAATGAATTAATACATGTAAAACACTTAAAATAGTTCCTGGAACACAGTAAGATCTATAAATGTTAGTTATTATATTTATTATCTTGTATGTACAGAGTAATAGCCGATTGTCCTAGCACAATTTGTAGAATCCTTTACTCCCTGACTTTTTAAAAAAGATTTTGTTTTTAGATAATCTCTACAACCCAGTGTGGGGCTCGAACTCAGAACCCCGAGATCAAGAGTTGCACACTGCACTGATTGAGCCAGCCAGGCACCCCTGATCTTTTTTTTGTTTGTTTTAAGTTTATTTAAAGTAATCTCTACACACAACATGGAGCTGGAACTCACAACCCTGAGATCAAGAGTTGCATGCTTTTCTGATTGAGGCAGTCAGGAGCCCAGACTCCCTGATTTTTATTTATTTATTTTATTTATTTATTTAATTTTTTTTTAAATGTTTTATTTATTTATTCATGAGAGACAGAGGGAGAGAGAGGGAGAGAGAGAGAAGCAGAGGGAGAAGCAGGCTCCCAAGGAGCAGGGAGCCCGACGCGGGACTCGATCCCAGGACCCTGGGATCATGACCCGAGCCGAAGGCAGACGCTCAACCATCTGAGCCACCCAGGCGCCCTATCATTGCATTCTTTTAACTAGAAATTGTTTTAGGGGAGAGTAGATTGGAAGCCAAGATTTCTCTCAACTTTTCTCAAATCACTTCACAAGAACATTAAGTGATTCTATGCTTCTGTTTCACCTTTGTTACCTAAGAAGAAGTCAGTCACCTGGATTCCTTGTACCTTTTAGAGGGTGCTGTGAGAATGGATGATATCCTAGGCAGGAAGTTCAGAAAGCCAAGTAATATAAAGCTGCAGAAGGAAGTTACCTGAGAGAAAAGAGATTCCGTAGGTAGTACTTTGAGTCCATTAATTCTACTTGTAATGATGGTAATTTTTTTTTTAAAGATTTTATTTATTTATTTGAGAGAGAGAATGAGAGACAGAGAGCATGAGAGGGAGGAGGGTGAGAAGGAGAAGCAGACTCTCTGCGGAGCAGGGAGCCCGATGTGGGACTCGATCCCGGGACTCCAGGATCATGACCTGAGCCGAAGGCAGTCGCTTAACCAACTGAGCCACCCAGGCGCCCGTAACTATGGTAATATTTTAAAGTTTTTTTTTTTTTAATTGTGGCAAAACCCCACATAAAGTAAAATGTACCATCTTGGTTACCAGATGAGAATAAATTTTAATACAGTCTTTGCATTTGATGTTTAACCCAAAATCTTCCCAAGGCTGTCTCCTCCTCATAGTTCAACTGCTGATTCACATTCCTTCTTCAAAGAGGCCCCGCCTACATTACTCTGAAGCACTCTTCACTACTGAAATATTTGTGTTTATTGGCTTATTAACTGTCTCCCTCTCCCCACTAAAATATAAGTTCTACCTGAGCAGGGACCTGGTCTGTCTACTCTTCTCCCCATGCCTGGAACAGTGCCTTGCACCTGGTATGTCCTGTTAAGTATTTATTGAAATACTTGCTGAGTAATAAGTATAGTGTTCTTTGATTCCCAGTTTTATATATTTTATCTCATTTGATCATTACAACTCTTTGAGTAAAGTGGGCTTACTAGCTCCATGGTAAAGAGACTCAGAAAAGCATCTCACCCGAAGTCACAGGCCAATTAAGAAACAGGGTTGGGATTGCTACTTAGGTGGCTTGCTTTTTCCAATACATTCACTCCAGTTCTAGGGCTAAAAGTATTTCAAATTAGTTTCCAATTAAGGAAGTGATGACTCTGCAGGATAGTAGAAACAACCCGCACATTTATTTACGTCTCCAGTTCCTGCAACTGGAACCCTTACAATCCCCACCCCACCCCTTATGCAGTCACACACACACACACACACACACACACAGCCGAGTTATGGCCACAGTAATATTATTCTAAGTGCAAAGAAGAAAATGCAATTACTCGACTGTTTGGAAACCTGAATCCCCTTGTGTGTCGGTGTGGGAGGGGGTGGTTCCCCCCCTTTTTTAAACAGCTTCATTGAAGTATTAATCTTCTCCTGGGTTTTTTGTTTTTAAGATTTTATTCATTTATTTGACAGACACAGCGAGAGAGGGAACACAAGCAGGGGGAGTGGGAGAAGCAGGCTTCCTGCCAAACAGGGAGCCCAACGCGGGGCTGGATCCCAGGATCCTCGGATCATGACCTGAGCCAAAGGCGGACGCTTAACAACTGAGACACCGAGGCGCCCCATCTTCTTTTGTTTCTAAAGTGCGCTCCTTTAGGGAGGCGGGAGTGGGGGGGGAGAAGTGCGCTCCTTTGAAATAATCTCATTCCCTAGAATATTTACTTCACCTTTTGAGTGTCCTGACTTTTATGAGCTTTTGGTTTATTTATTTAAATAATCTCTATACCCAACGTGGGGCTTGAACTCATGGCCCCAAGATCAAGAATCACAAGCTGTTCCGACTGAGCCGGCCAGGTGCCTTTACTTCCCCTTTTGGATCTCCACTACTACAGACACCTGAACGGATTCCCTTTCCTTTTTCTTTTACCCCTATATTCCACAGCCAAACACGTGTAACCTGTATGTATGTACTCAATTCGCTCAGCGTCTCTCCAGTCCAGTCCAGCCCACCAAAAGCCCGGCCCCTTCTTTTTTCCCGAGCCCCGCCTTTCGGCCCCTTTCCAACTTAGAGCCTACGGATCTCGCCCTTCCTTCCCCCCCCACCCCCCAACATCTCGCGAGAGGTGAGCGCCCCTGGCCGGACGAGAAGAAAGTATCTGCTCCTCTGAGGGGGGAAAGAAGGAGCTGGAGACAGATTGTGGGAACGAACGCGGGCGGGCGGGAGGCGACGGAGCTACCAGCGGGTGAGTTCTTTTAACATTAACTAATCCATGATCTGGCGGAGTCTCTCTTTCAACTCTGGCCACTCTCAGTGTCCCAGGCCGGGGTCTCCCCTCCCAGTCGGTGTTGGACGGGGGCGCTGAGGCGGTGGCCAGGCCCTGTCTGAGGAAGTGGGTGGGGCATGGACTAACGCCGACCAATAAAAGAGAAGGAAGCCACGATTGGCGGCGATGAACACTAATGAGAGATCGTCTTTACCTTGCGGAGTGCCGCCCCTCTTCTCTGCCTCCTACCGCCTCCTTCCTCTGGGGGGGAAGGCGGGGCCAGAGGCCTGAAGTGTGGGGAGAACTTGGGGTAAGTAGCCCCGGGGGGCACAGGGCGTGGCAAGGAGAGGGGAGTTGAATCCTGAGGGAATGGAAGTCTAGTAGAGCCTAATGGGAGGATCATGGGATGGGGTGGAATGGGAGGAAGGGGAGGGGTACTAAATTGATTGAAGACTCAGGCTTACCAAGTGAGGTTAGGGGCTTCGCATTGAAGAGCTAAGGGTAATAGGTAGGAGGTAGGCAACAGTAGGTGAAAACATGGCATTGGGTTTGGTTGGAAAGATAGGTAGAGGTAAATCATTGGAAATGAGAGTCATGGCATTTCGATTGAATTATGAAAAAGAATAGGGACATGATTTCAGAGAGAAAGTATGAATTTGGAGAAAATTCAGTGAATGAGTTTAGAAAGACTTAATAGAGGTGGGCTTACGAGCCAAAAGGTATCACTTTGGAAAGAGTATAGGGGAATTCGGAGGGGTAAAGGAAGTGTTTGGAAAGGAGACAGCTGATATATACAGGCCTTTAGCCTAGGTATCAGACGCAGCCTAGGATATTGATTTGGGGCTTTTGCTGTTTATGGCACCTAGTCTGGTGACCAGCTTGCAAGAATAGTGGGGTAGGGGTAGAGGAGGAGAAAAATAGAATGCTTTCATCGCTTCTACTCTGATTTCCTTTCTTCCTCTCTTACTCTTCCTACACTCATCTCTTCCTGAACTCAGGGATGGGGGCTTGGGACTTGAGCGGTACAAGTTGGAGCCCCATTGGGAGTCAAGTTGCTCTGAATTGCTTGTTATGTTCTCTAACTGGGGTGTTTACTACCCAGGGCACCTCCTACCTAGATTGCTGCGTTGCTACTTTCCTAACTTTAAAAGTTTGTTTTCTCCTTAACAGAGGGTGTTTCAGTATCTCCAAAGGTTGTGTCATAGTAAGTGTAGGTTTGTGGGGGTGTACAGAGTTTTCTGGGCAAGCTCACTTGATTCCTATATTTAAAAACTTTGCAGTAGTGTAAGAATTCTTGTAAAGACGGTTATTCTAAGCACAGAAAAATATACTAAACTGAAGTTTGTTTTGTTAAATGTGTGTCTTATCCACTCATTCTTGGAGCTTGTTAAATGGATGGTTGCAGTTAGTTTTAGTTAGCTTATGTTATATATTTTTAAATGGTGTAAATAAGATAGACGTATATTTCAGGAAGGTGAAAAATTTTCAGTTTCTTCCTTTGTGTCTAAACTCAGAAGCCAAAGATATGTCATAATATCTTAGGGCAGGGGTTGGGGAAATCAAACACAATTTGTACTTAAACATGGGAGGATGTAAGGTAAGTGGAGACTATTGCGAAATGTAACATGTCTGTAAGAAAAGAAGCTAAAGAAAAGTTTGGCAGCTATACTAAGTAGTCTTACCAGTTTGTTCTTAATTCTGTACAGCAAAGGGACCAGCCTTTGCCCTTTGTTTGATAGTTGTGTATTATTTAATAATGAATTGAACTAATACAGCCAATTAATTAATAACTTCTTTGCTACTGCATAGATTTGTCTTTTACATCCTTCTCTTCTCCTTTTACTTTTAAGAAGCAAAATAATGTCTGAAATGCCGGTAAAGCTCTTACATGAAGAGAAACCAGAGTATGTTGTTTTGTATTAACCTTTGGTTTTCAGCAACCATTTGAAGCTTTTTCTCCTGGCCAGAAAGTTGCCCCTACAACAAGTTGAGACCAATTAATTACTGACCCTTTAGCATTAATTACTGAATTGGATTCCAGTATTTCACATTCAGAGCAGTGCTGTTGGACATTCAGACATTTTCACAGTTTGCCTGGCAGCAGAACAAAAAATATCCAATGAAAGAGCAAAGTCCCTTGTTTTATTCTTCCGTTCTCGAATTTGTGATGGCTTTAACTTGGGCACTATTAAATGCAAGATTTTTTTTTTTTTTTAAATCTCATCAGTGTTAACACCTAGCAGAAAGCTAGGGAGTGTCAACACTGCGCATCTTTAAACTTGTGGATCAAAGGTTGCATCCTGTGATAGTTTCAGTGTTGTAATTTTTAAGCATTTTTGTTTACCAGGGCTTTTAAATGTTAATGAATACTGCTACTGTACCTCCTTTTTCTTTCGTCTCCCCACTTCCAACTGAAAATGAAAATTGTTTTTTTCAACCAACTCTTAAGCTGCTTCTTTGCCTCAAGTAAAGTCCCTGGCTCTGCCTGAACACAGCTGCTCTGAAGTTCTCACAAGTTATTGTTTTGTACATGTCAAGACGGAGTTTTTCCTAGGCTGCAGTAGGAGGGAGTCAGTGTTAAGCAGCTTCATCCACGTCTGATAAGGAGGAGCCTTCTCCTTGCAAGGAAGTTTTAGGTGGAGCAAATAGCATTGCCATGTAAATGTGTAACAAAGACAGCTCTCTTCTTGAGACTAGTTGGCTGGCTGGCATATAATTGTCCCTTATCCCTTGATAAAGGTACTAAAATTAAGGTGCAGATGTTGTTTCTTTCAGAAAAACAAATGCAGCATTCATTTAAAAAGAAAAAGCGTTAATTTCTTTTGTTGTTGGTGTCTCTGAAAATGGTACTCTGATTTTAGAGTTCATGAAAAAGTTTTCCATCTGGTGCCTGGCTGGCTTAGTCGGTGGAGCATGTGACTTTTTTTTTTTTTTAAGATTTTATTTATTTATTTGACACAGAGATAGTGAGAGCAGGAACACAAGCAGGGGGAGTGGGAGAGGGAGAAGCAGATGCCCCGCTGAGCAGGGAGCCCACTGCAGGGCTTGATCCCAGGACCCTGGGATCATGACCTGAGCGGAAGGCATACGCTTAACGACTGAGCCACCCAGGTGCTGCACTGGAGGTCTGCTTTTAGAACATTCTTTACATTGTGCTGAAGCTCTTTAGTTCTGCCATTTGCAGCTACAATAAATAAACCTAATTCCTTGTCGGCATGGTAGCCCTTCAAGTATTCGATGACAGTTATGTAGTGGGATAAATATCCCAAGTTATTTCAGCATTCCTTAAGTGACCATTTTTAATAAAGTTCAGGCTTCTCATCAACTGGGTTGCCTGTATTTAGGGTTTCTTTTCTAGATCTGAAATATAACACCTCAGGTATAATCTGATCAATACAAAGTACAGGGGAGAGTATGGCCTCTTTGCTGCTGTGCTCTGTACCTCTATTCTTAAAGCCTAAGATCGCATTAATTTGTGTAATTGATTTTTTAAATGTAATTGATGACCTTACATTTATCCTTGTAATTGTCATCTTGTTAATTTGGGTTTATTGTTTTATCTTAATAATGTTATTTGGCCTCTTAGCCATTCCTCATATCATATCCTGATGTTTGTATCATTGATAGATAAATTTTATAAATGAGACATAAATACCTATGTTTTTGGTTTAGGTCACTGGTAAAAATATATAAGGTTGGAGCAGTGCCATATAACATCATCATGCTCTCATTAGGTTGATATTAATCCATTTATCAACCTTTTGGGTAAAATTCAATTATGAATCCACTTTCTGTTTTATCATCTAACTTATATTTCCTGTGAAGTATTAAGAGGTATCCTGTTGAAATCTAAATATATTGTCTCTGACCTATCCCTAAGCTCCTAGGCTAGTGACCTGTTAAAAAATGAAATGAGGGGGGCGCCTGGGTGGCTCAGTTGGTTAAGCGACTGCCTTCGGCTCAGGTCATGATCCTGGAGTCCTGGGATCGAGTCCCGCATCGGGCTCCCTGCTCGGCAGGGAGTCTGCTTCTCCCTCTGACCCTCTTCCCTCTCGTGCTCTCTCTCTCTCATTCTCTCTAATAAATAAATTAAAAAATAAAAATAAAAAATAAATGTGCCTTAACTTCTAAAAAAAAAAATGAAATGAGGTTAGACATTAGTTGCTACCTACCTAGGTCATGCTAGTGTTTATAAATCACTGCATTACTTGCCAGTTGTTTATAAGACATCTATTTAATAATTCCCCTATTTTTTTAAGTATAATTGCCCCCCCTTTCCAACATTGCTGGTCCTGCTTCCTTTATTTTTAATTTTTAAAATAATTCTAGAATGATTAACAGTGTTTGTGCATAGTTGCATATTTTGTGTCATCAGATGAAATTCTGTTTTGGAATCTTTGGCATTTTAAGTAACAAATTAAAAAATTAAACTATTGTCCATGTAACAGTTATATCATAGCTTCCCCATAATATTGACATCTCCAATTTAGACCTAACTTTTCATTTTGTTTAGAATAAAAACCTACACTACCTGTAAGAAAAAATACACCACACACACATATCATTGACTTCTTTAATTATAGTTTATTGATGTGGGGGGGTAAGTTTGTCGTGCTCTGTGCTGTAGGTAAAATTGTGCTAGAAATAAGCCAGAACATCAGAAGACATCTCTAGAGACTAAAAACTGTGTTGGCAGCCAACAACTTTCCTGTGTGTTAATTTTAGACTTGATAGTTGAACTTATGTTTGAGCAATTTTAGCTGATAAATGCATTTTTAAAGCACCTTCCTCTTTTGGGGTTTTAATTTTTACTTTCACTTTTAGAAAATTGCAAATTGTGAATGGAAGTGTCTGTGCAGAATGAAGTAGCATGCTGTTAGGGACAGGATGCATCTTTTGATAGCTTCTCATCCATTTGAGATTGTTTAGTTATGAATTCTCCTGGAAAGCAGAACGATGGACTTGATGACCCCTCAAGG